ACGATGAGTCAGAGTTCACAAATGTTAAGTTGGGCATGCTACCGAAGAATACCACTGCATACCTCCAACCGCAAGACGCCGGTATTATTGCCTCTTTCAAGGCTAAAGTGAAGCAGCTGCAACTCATGAACGCGTTGAGCCAAATCGACTCTGTCATGGCCGGACGTCTAGACAAGTTGTATGAAGTGCCAGTTGTCGATGCGATGAGGTGGGCTCGAGAGGCCTGGCGCTCTGTAGCGCAGTCCACAGTTGTGAACTGTTGGGAGCGGACGGGCATTCTAGACTGTGATCAGTCAACTTTTACTGATCGAGTGGCTTTGTTGAATGTCGAGTAACATGCATGTATCTTGCCTGCCAATGTTTATAGCAAATAATACCTTTCAAAGTGGATATTTCGTTAAAACGGAATAAATATAATTAATGCCGTTGCAAAGCTGGAGGGAAATCAGTATCAAATTGTTTGCTGAGCTTTAAAGTTTGTATTTCTGAACGGGGATTAATTTGGAATTTGTATTGAGTATATTCTGAATACACTCAGGGCAAATGAACGAATTCTTTCGATAATGCGCACCATAACGTACTAAACCACGACACGTTTCACTCATCTCGTGATATTGTCAACTATGATATGTACAGTAATCCTTCCTATCACACAAGTTACAGTATACTTAACACAATTATCTCAATACACTAACAATATCAATTGACGATACATTCCTCAGGTCCATGGTTGCAGTAGGGGACTGAAAATGCTCATGGCGCTGCTCCGTTTTATTTGCCAACTCCCTACATTTCCTGTTTACAATATAGCGCAATATGGAATACAAGCATTGTGAACTGTGTTCATGTTAAGTATTTATAGTATATCTTCTGCTTACAGGCACATGAAACGCTCGACCTACAACAGCGTGCGAATCATTCATCCTTTGATGTGCCTGGAATTCGTTGACCCCGTCTTCGGACGGCGTGTGCTCAATCGCCGATAGCTTGCCATGGTATTGCAGCTGATGAGGACGGCGACCCACGCCTCCTTCATTTGGCCACTTCGAGCACTGTGCAAGGGTTTTACAAACTCGCCATTATTTACTCCGAGAAATTTCAAAAGAATATCTGTGACGATCTAGAATCATTTTATAGAGGTTTTCTTGGACCATGCCAGAGTTTGACTGGAGCGAAATCAGGTTCAACATGTTGGGACGGTTTGGGGACGTTGGTCGAGCGATTCGCTTGGCGCGAACAGGATGTGGGAGATGGAGCGCTTCATGCATGTCCACTGCCGCTGACGGACTGCATCGCGTTGCCATGGATCGGCCAGCGACGCTCAAGGAGTTTCAGCTCAAAGGCACGCGGCCATTTGACTTGCACATTTATGCGTCGCTGTCGGCCGACATTGAGCTTGCGTCGAGCGAAGCCGATGCATTCCAGATTGTAACGCATCCGAATGGCAGTGCGATTCGCGCCTTGGACAGCGTTGGCAATGCGTCGACTCCACTTCACGTTGAGCTCCGCCTCCCGTCCCAACTCGACTTGAACGTATCGTTGGTGCACGGAAACGCCACGTTGTACGAGAAGATCGAGGGCAGCATGGCTATTGCTCTGAATCGCGGCAACATCTTAGCAGATAAACTCCGCGGCAAGAACCTACGGCTCGTCTCGAACGACGGGACCATTTCGATCAACACGCTCGCTGAAGGCGAGACAGTGACGCTGTCGGCCAAACAAGTTGACTGCAAACGCCTGATGGCGAAGCGAGCCGAGATTACGTTGGCCAAAAACGCGACCGAACCGCTCGATTCGTCGTTTGGAGCTCTCTACACGAACTTGGCTACAATTCAGAGTGCTGCCTGTGGCAAGCTCACTGTGGGCAACGTCCACGGGTCCCTAGACATTCGCAGTGACGGTAAGGGCTTGCCTCGTGGACTTCATTGCGCGCTCATGGATTTTTCTCATGACAGGGGCGGCGGAGATTCACGTGGGCAGCGTGAACGGCAGTTTGTTCGTGGAAGACACGGGCGACAGCTGCAACGTAGACGTGCATTTTGACGCCGTGCAGTCGAACGAAGACTCGTCAAATCGAGTTGTGTGCGGCGGCGACGTCCATGTGTCGGTGGCGCCGTCGCTGCCAGTGGCGGTCGAGTTGCATGGCAGCGAAGTGCAGACGAACGGATGCGTGTTTGACGGCGAGCTCGAAATTGATCAACTGGACGACGACTATGTGATTGCGACGGGCCAGCTGCAACCACGCCACGACGAGCCGAGGCATGGAGGACTTTCTGGCTCTGGGAAGATCAACTTAGACGGTGCGAAAGCATCGGCCATGTCAACGTCGTTCTTCACGACCAGCGCCGTTGCTGACCTCCCCCAGGCGGACCACAACGACAGCCCCAATGACGTCGAAAGCATCTTTGTGCACGCTGTGAACGGCAAGGTACTTGTCGCTTGCACATGCTAACATGGTACCTCAGATGAAGCTGTGTTTAGGTGGTTCTGAAGCAGTTGTCCTGGATGGACAACATTCGTCTCAAACACAAACCGGAGTGACGCACAAGATAGCGACTCAGTCGATCACAATCGCTCGTACTAGATGTAATCGATTCGATCGATTGGACTTATCAACGCTACACCCTCCGTGAATGCCACAAGTACAACGCAGGACCGCATGGCTGACGTAGTGCAGGTCGAAAACAGAAGCGAGCAGGTCGTCGAGCAAAACGATGGAATGGTCGATACGTCGGGTGATCAAGAAAGCCATGAAAGTGCACAACGATGCCCTGAATGGTGTTGCCTGAGGCGTGGAAAAAAATTGAGCCGACCGGGAATCGAACCCGGGGCATCTATGTGGGGGGTGGAATCTTCACAGTGCATCGCAAGCGTTGTATAGAGTACAGGGTTTCGTCACTGTAAAAAGTCCAATTCACACAAAATCGCTTCAAATCACAAATTTGGAAAAATACGATTCCGTGGGCTCAAATTTTAAAATTATTGGTTCTGAAAGTAGAAGAGTTATTCCCAAAGAAAGTTCGTCGAGTACATAACACAATTTAGTGTGCCAATACAAACAAACATGCGTTTTTAACACTTACGCAGCCACACCTCCGTTTGATATGAGGTTGAGGGGGTACGTGGATCGACACCTTGCGGGTGTAAAAAATTTTACATCAAGGAAGCCTATATATGATATTTTATGCTTTTGACTTCTGTGAACGATTTTCGCGCTGAACAAACATCGTTAGAACTTCGCTCATGATTTGCAAATTCACAACGTAGTACAAGAGCCAACGGGGTGTTAGAACTAGCGATTTGACAGCTTCCATACGGTATTGTACGGAGCGGAGTCGCTTGTAGAATTGGCTCAGTGTCACTTGGTCAATCCTGTCGCGCAGAGAAAGAAGGTCCGTTCGGATCTTACGCATAGTTGCAACTAACATGATCAGTTTCTTAATCGCTTGATAGCTGTGGCAAAATGAATAATGACGAGGATCAAACTTGAGTACTACTAAGATTAGAATCCTGCAACCGTTCTTTTTGAATACAGGCTAAGCAGCTCAACCAACATTGAGAAGGCAGCCCTTCCTTGACGCATGAGCGTGTGAACCATCGGAGCTTACGGGGCCGCACTTCTCGAGGAGCTGAAGGCATTGCTACCTCGGTACATCAAAGTCCACAAGTCCGTTACAAAACGCAATCATAAGCATTACGAAGAGCCTGATGCCTGGCACAACCATGAATGACACGTGACGACACGAAATGTGCTTCTAGACGCTGCCAAGACGTCAACGTTTACAAGCAAGTATTTCAGTATTTGTCAAGCACAGTATCTTTTCCGACAGTGTCACTACTCTCGTGTTACACTTGTCATTCAAAACGGAGAGTACGTACATGAACGACCACTGACTTTACTCGCTCGATCACCGCGCCAAGCAATGGTACTTGACAGATTTACTGATCTACTTATCCTCACTCTAGGCATAGGTGCCGCAGCTGGCGAAATCTAGTCTTCAGGACCTCATTGACGAGAACCCAATGAGAAAACCTGCTGAGCTCTTTCGATTTATTGAAGCTGAGTGGAGTTAAGGTCAGTTTGGACGCATGGATAATACGCCATGTCCGACCCCTGTTCAAGTCGCCAATGCATCCAAAGGTTTGAGGGCGTCGGTTCTAGGCCATGTGGATACAGACGATGCTATCTTGTTGAAGTTACAGCAGTCAGGATTAGCGACTGGAATGTGTTCGAATGACTCCCTCGTATTTGGTGTGCCGATGAGAGAACACAGAAATGCCCATGGTGATGGTTCCGACATCGACCCTCTTCGCATTGGTGAGTGTGCTTATTGTCTGTTCAAGCTCTGAAACTTTCTTCGGACTAACCAGCCGCTCGTTGCTGCAACGCTACTGTCGCGTTGTCACAGACAAACCTGGTATTCGCGTGGTCGTTCATATGGATACAACGTTCAACTTGAACATGCCTGGATATCTCGTTTTTGTCCTTGGATACTCTGACTTTAGAGGATGCTTCCATGCCATTTGTATAGCCATCACTTCCCAGCGTACGGCTGACGACGTCTCTTGGCTGCTGAGCTCGCTCAAATATGTCTAATGCGCTCACCAGTTTGCTCCCCCGTTTGTAATGGGTGATGCAGATGGTGCTCAATCTACGGTGTGCAAGACCAATTTGGCGAATCAACGAAGTACATCATTTGCTTCTTCCAAGAAATGAAAAGGTACAGCGTTTGAGATATCGAGATTCTGTCGTCAACTACAGGTCGTCAACTACAGGTTATCATGGTCTGAATGGGGCGATATTTCAAGGGATATCTACTTCTATACACCACGCAAGACAGTGTTCACCTCGACAGTGCTGCTCGCGTTGTCGAAGCTAAGTGGAGAGAAAGGTCGCAGCGCGTGAGAAAGTTCATGCTGAAATTTTTCCGCCTGTGGATGTCTGCTACGATTATGCCAGGTGCACCACCCAAAGATACAGAAAACTGGTTTTGGAGGTGGCAAACGTTTCACACGGATAAAGGCGCTGCAACCACAAACAACCCCAATGAGCAATTCAATGCGTTACCAAGAAGGTACTGCTGCGTTCAACTCTATCTAACGGTCAACATGATATTAGGAACTTGAACACCAGCGCCTGAAGTTGGTTTACTTGATTCAAGTTCTCACCCGCACACTGCATGAAGAGTCTGAGCGTGACAGTCAATCCTGGACGGAGCCACGCGTGACAAGACGGCTGTTGCAACACTACAACTTACAGAAGAAGAACGAAGCATTCGAACGAAGGCATCGAAACCCTCAAGATGATCCAGCAACTTGGACAGTACGCCATCACAACATGGAAGCTGACATCGAGGGCAATCCACAACTGCAAGAGCCTCCTCGCACCAATCACTTGCTGTTGACATACGTCAACCGCAACGTGCACCTCTTGGAACTGCTTGATCAACCTGATGGTGAGGAATCAATAAATTCAGGTACCTGGAAACTCATTGACTCATAGGTGGCTGGACAGTTGACATCGAACGCTCAAGGTGTAATTGCAGATTTTGGGTTCGATCTGGAATATGCGTGCATGTAATCGCTGTTGCCGACTCAACTGGGCGACAACTACCTGGCATGCCGTGGAATACCCGCAAACTTGTCAATCGAAGCGTTCGGGGAGGTCGTCGAGGCGGGCGTACACGACACGAACGTGCGCTGCTACGAGATGTAGGTCGCCCAGTTGTTGGAATGCAGCAGCCATTTGATCAAGTCGCCGGGGATCCTGAGCAGGTTGAAGAAGAAGAGTGACCTCAAGCACGTCGTCGAATTCAAAGCAACATTTTCGACATGGCAGCCTATATGGAGTCCAATGGCATTTCCGCCAACGGCGGCATCCCAGCGCAGTGTATGCGAAGTTTCATTCGATTGTTGGGAACGAAGGGATTCAAGTTTAGTCATGCCGTGTTCGGCAACAACCTATTGTTGGAATCGAGCGGCAACCCAACCATTGATTTGTGTGCGACGGTTCGACGAGTCGGCGAAGGTGTGTACTTGTTGACCTCGGTAACACTAAATATCACGCACTGTTGGATCGTACACTGCGATGGCTACTTAACGTCCTTGTTCGACAGCGCAGGACCGATAACCCTTGGTGAATTTCCTGCGGTTGACTTCATTCGGACTATTCGCCGCATTTCAGCCGAAGATGCTCTTGTGGCTTCGGTTCTTGCTCACGTCAAAGTAGAGCTTGCCAGTGTAGTGGTTTCAAGCGCATTCAGGTCACCATCTCTGCGGTTGACCTCGGGGACGCGGATGTTGAACTTTGGGATTTTTCCCAGTGCTGGAGTCCTGTACAACATGATGCATTTGAGATGTTTTCAGTCAAGTCTATTTTGTTGTGAGAAAAACCATTCAAGTGTGAAGAAACCATTTTCGTGCGAGAATGCTCCATTTAGATGTGATCGGGTTTTTTCTCCGTTGTATTTACCATCATTAAATTTGAAGTGGGATGAGTTGATTTCGCACAGAAGACCAGAAGCAAAATTGCTTCTTAGTCCATGATTGGCTAAATATGCTTCAGCGTCTTTCGTGATCTCTAATTGGTTCAGACTCAATGTCAGTCTATGATTGGACAAATTGGAGGTGTCTGATTGGTTGAATTGAGACACTTTCAAATTTAAAAATCGACATGCTAATCAGCGCACTGACGCCATTGCACAGTTAAAAAGGCAAGGGTTCAGCTCCTCCAAGCGTACCAAAATGCATACTCAGCGCGATTGCGATTTGTGCGATCGAGGGCATACCTCGTTCTAAAAAAAAAGGTGGTTGAAGCAGTTCGAGAAGGCATTTTCCACTTGTGACGACGAACTGGCATTTGCCATTATATTCTAGAGCAGAACGTTTGGATGAATATTGGGATCACATTGTTTCTAAATAAAAATAGTGTCGTACTAACCTGATGGGAATCCCATGCTAATCCTTCACCCCTCACACTCAATGTGCTGCTTTGACATGGTCAGCTAACCCTTCGCTAGCTTACCGTAATCACCACGGCAATTGTCACGGAGATACAGTGAACCCCGGAAAAAGCCGACATGGTATCATCCTGAATCGCATGGAGGCAGAATGAAATCAATTTTTAAAATTGATTGAGTTAGTCCAACTTGATTGGCTATGGTCAGGAGAATTTCTGTCAGTCCATCACAGTTCCAATTGTATCTACAATGCAATTGGTCAAAATGAATGAGTTTCTGACTTGGTATTGAAGTATAAAGGTGGTTGAATTCTATATAAAAGATCGTGTTTTGGGTGTGGTTGGCATTTTTGGTTGTGTCAGCTTTTTCCCGGTTTCACTGTATCCTCCCTCGGTCAGTCCTTGCATGCAAAATAACGAGGATTCGGTCCATCCCCGTCCTGATCAAGAATAAAATTGCATATTTTCTATGCTGTGTTGGCCAATCAGTGGCCTCATGTCAGAATTAGATGGGTACCATAGTCATGATTTTTTTTCGCTCACTGACCATGGGTCAACTTGATGCATACAAGCTTCAAACTCGCGTACTCGCGAGTACAACGCTTGCGAGTTTTTTCACGGTTGACTGTACCGCAATACAGCGCCAGTGTTATACATAGCACGAATATATTTACAGTGC